GTTATCGCATGAGGGAACAGATCACACAACGAACTGCTACTTCATACATGTAACTATTTGTATCGTTAGAACTGTGCCTTCAGAGAACAACTGCTCTATCCCTTAGGCTGTAAGTACAGTGTTCTCTGAAATGACGCGTGGGTTGAGCGTGAGGACAACTGTGGCAAGAAGTAGCGGGGTAGTGGTTACAACTGCAATGTGCAAGGAAGGGCGACGCTTTGCTTGACTAACACATATATATCCTACAGTCCTTATCCATTGGTGGACTAGACAAAACCCACTGCACATTCTACCCAGAAGGGCCAAAAATAAAGAGCAATTTTATGCATTACCAAAAGCTTAGAAACTGTTGCTTTGACACTTGTAGCAGCTCTGTAAGTGCATGCACTATGTTCACAGTAATCATGAAAGTAAACAGACTCAAAACACATGCTATAACTGTATTAGAATTTCGAAATTTTATAATTCAGGGACTAGGTAAAGGTTTGAACATAAAGCTCTGAAAGACTAGTAGATAGATTGGTGTTCATCTTGTGGGATAACATCTAGCATAGATACACATAAGGAAAGATTGTGAAATTAATTAAAAGTAATCTTCGCATAACGGAAGCTGGCTGTTCAGTGAAGGGTTGCCACTACTTGCAGATTAAATATCGGACATAGCGAATTCTTGGAAGTGAACTCAGAAAATTCAGGAGAATACTAAGTGAATTAAATGTTGGTATAAATGTAGGGGACTAACGTATTTCACTTATAGTCCACTTTCTCTTCCGTCTGTAATGCAACAAATTAATAACATTTATTGACATTTAATCTACTTGTAGTCTATTCTTTCCGTCTAAATTAATTATTACAATGATTAAATGTGAATCAGTTTTATTAATTTGTTGCATTATAAACGGAAAAAATAGACATAAATGACACCTCAGTGCAACTTACTTACTTACTTACTTACTTACTCATGGAGCTGAGCCCTTCTTGAGGAGCCCCCAATTCTGCCGCTACTAAAAAATTTCCCAGCATTTTATGGAACCCGAAGGTTCATTACCGTGTTCACAAGAGCCCTCCACTGGTCCCTATCCTGAGCCAGATCAACCCAATCCATACCATTCCATACTATCTCTCTCAGGTCCATTTTAATGTTTTCCACCCACCTACGCCTTAGTCTTCCCAGTGGTCTCGTTCCTTCTGGCTTTCCCACCAATATCCTATATACATTCCTCTTCTCCCTCATTCATGCTACATACCCTGCCCACCTCATCCTCCTTGAATTGATTATTCTAATTATACTTGGAGAAGAGTACAAGTTATGAAGCTCCTCATTATGCAGTCACTTCAAAATAACAGGTTGCTCAAATATAATATTGCGAAGGAATTTTATGAATCAGAAAAGGCTCCTGGAAGAGAATCTCTACTTCGTATACAGGGTGTCAAATAAAAATGTTACAGACTTCAAGGGGGTATAGCAATCACTTAAAGGAGCAGAAACATAGGTCCAGAAAATGGGTTAGTGTGCCTTTGGGTGGGCATCTTAGGTGATCAACTATTTAGGACCAGTTGTCTTGAAAATGTGGCACAGTTCAGATGTTTGGGAAGGACAGTAACAAATCGAAACGTGATTCAGGAGGAAATTAAGAGGAGACTGAACTCGGGTAATGCTTGCTACCATTCAGTCCAGAAGCTTTTGTCTTCCCGTCTGCTGTCTAAAAACATAAAAATTAGAATACATAAAATTATAATATTGCCTGTCGTTTTGTATTGGTGTGAAACTTGGTCTCTGGTTTTGAGGGAGGAACATAGACTGAGGGTGTTTGAAAACAGGGTGTTGAGGAGAATATTTGGACCGAAGAGAGATGAAGTGACAGGAGATTGGAGAAAACTGCATAATGAAGAGCCTCATAACTTGTACTCTTCTCCAAGTATAATTAGAACGATCAAGTCAAGGAGTATGAGATGGGAAGGGCATGCAGCACGAATGGGGGAGAAGTGGAGTGCATATAGGATATTTGTCGGAAAGCCAGAACGAAAGAGACCAATGGGAAGACCAAGACGTAGGTGGGTGGACAATATTAAAATGGATCTTGGAGAGATAGGATGGGATGGTATGGATTGGATTGATCTGGCTCGGGATAGGGACCAGTTTAGGGCTCTTGTAACTTCGGTAATGAACCATCTGGTTCCATAAATTCTGGGAAGTTCTTGAGTAGCTGCACAAGTGACAGCTTCTCAAGAACGTCTCAGCTCCCTGAGTGGTGATGATGATAATGTCTTACCTAACAGACTGTCAGGTTCATTGTACCGTCGTTTTCTGGTGAATGATTTACCAGTACGCTTCATCAACACACGAGTGGTTCATGCGTGATGGGCCATCACCTCACTTTCTCTGCACACTCAGGTACCACCTGAACCAGAGTTTCTGTGACCAGTGGATAGAACGTGGAGGCCTGCCCGATCTCCTGACCTCAATCCTCCGGATTTTAGGCTGTGAGGACACCTAAACACTTTAGTCTATTTAGTACCGATCAATGACTTAAGAGGTATTACAGCAACGCGTAGAGAATGCCTGTAAGGAGCCTGAAGTGAAAGCAGGAATTTTCATGAAAGCGCGTACCTCTGTTTGCCGAAGAACAGAGAGTTGTGTTGAAACACTTCGGAACCACACAAAGCATCTGCAGTAGAGATAACATGAACATCGCCCATACATCAGAAGGCACTGCGTTCTGGGCATATGTCGACTGGGACTTGTTTGCTTATTTGAGTACTGTACCCCCAAGCCGGTCACAACAGCCGCGTGGTCTACGTCATGAACCGTCTTCCCCCGCCTGAAAGCTGGGATCGTTGGTTCGAATCCCACTAAAGGCAGGATGTCTGTGTTCGTTTATTCTGTGTTTGTGTTGTCCTATGTAGGTAGAGGCCTTACGATGGGATGATCACTCGTCCAAGGAGTCCTACCGACTGTAAAAAATGATTACGGAACTGAATAAGAAGCCAGGGCCCTGAATGGGCTGGAAGAGCCATTAGGAATAAATATAGGATTATACGGCATCACATTCTAGAAAATGTTAATCTTCAATGCAGATGAGACTTTGGGAGGTAATTCCCAGTCCTCACTAACCGGAAAATATTAATGAAGATATGGACTTGATTTTAGTTTGTAATAATTCAAAATCAAGAGAAAAGATATTTTGTGAAACTGTAATGGGATTTCGCGAAGTATGTTCAATTTTTGAACGCTTGCTCACTTTCACGACATAAATACATCTGAGAACGTAAGAGAGGGGAGATATAGCTAGAAGGAATGTCAGACAGAGACAGTTTGTACATATCGTCCACACTCCCGACAAATTCTGCGTCGCTCTGACAAATACAACGAAAGAAAAGCGGATTGTCTATATCCCAGGGGTCCTGTTCTAGAGAAGAGGCCGCTGCAGGTCGCGATAAGGCAATCATTTCGGTATGTGGAAAGCAGTCCCCAACAGCTGTCCGCAAAACATGTCTGTAGTTAAGTATGTAACGCCTTCTAACTATGTCAGGTAGCGTCCATATTATGTTAGATATACACTACATAAATGTCGTGTAAAAACGGTTATGTTCTTGGAGAAGCCAGGCAGCTCACTCAGTATAGTGACTGGGCTATGGGCTAGACGACTGATACCCCACGGTTCGATTCCAAACGGTGACGAAGATATATCTCTTCGCCACGGGGCTCAGACAGGCTCTGGGGCCCACCTGATTCATTAAGTACTGGGGTCTACTTCCCCGGGGAAAAGCGGTCGGGCGTTAAGCTGAATAATGCATGAAGCTATACCTCCACTCCCCCCATTCGTCTTCATAACTCTGTGTTTAATTAAACAATAGACTTTATCGTTAGATTAATATTGTAATGAGAAACTTCATTTTTTTTAGTTTCTTGAGGTGGGCTAGACTGAGTCCACTTGCTACGTCGGCCACTAACTGGCCTATTGTACCAGCCCCGGATGACAGAAGATAAATTTGGAGCAATCGTTGGAATGAGAATTGGTAGGGGGAACCGAAGCATTCGGAGGAAACCTGCCCCCCCAGTGCCACTTTGTCCACCACAAATCCCACATTATCCGACCCGGGCTCGAACATTGGCCGCTGCGCTGGGAAGCTGGCGACTTACCGCCTGAGGTATGGTACGGCCTGCTGAGAACCTCAGTTTAGTTCATATTACGTATTTAATTATAAATATATGTGCAAATTATAAATTAAATTTATCTGAACAGCGATCGATAAGTGCTACAGGACCGTACCATAACTGAGACGGTTTGTCGCTGGCTTCCCACCCGGGTTAATTCCCACGTCAAGTCATATAGGTTCTGTGGTCAACAACGTGGCACTGGGGTAGGTTTCCTCCGAATACTTCCGTTTCTCGTGCCAATTCTTATTCCTTCAACTGCTCCATGTTTATTAATCATCCCATCAGCGATATATAATCTCGATCCTGACACCGTCGTTAAACAACCAACTACAAGAAGTGTTACAAATGAATATTATGGAGGTGCTTAATGCCCTGTATATTATAACATTAGGCATTCCTGATAAACTGAAAAATGAGGAGCTTCATAACGTGTACTCTTCTCCTAGCATAATTAGAATGATCAAGTCAAGGAGGATGAGGTGGGCAGGGCATGTAGCACGAATGGTGGAGACCAGGAATGCAAATAGGATATTGGTATGAAAGCCAGAAGGAAAGAGACCACGGGGAAGACCAATGCGTAAGTGGGTGGACAATATTAAAAAGGATCTTCGAGAGATATGATGGGATGGTATTGACTGGATTGATCTGGCTCAGGATAGGAACCAGTGGAGGGCTCTTGTGAACACGGTAATGAATTTTCGGGTTTCATAAATTGCTGAGAAATTCTTGAGTAGCTGCAGAATTGGCGGCTCCTCAAGAAGGGCTCAACTCCATGAGTAAGTAAGTAAATAAGTAAAGGAGCTCTTCCTGATATATTCGATACACCTGTGTGTTACAGGTCGATGGCCCACGTGCTGAAATCTTTGGACCTCAGTTATAATGAGCTTGATGAGGTCCCCTTCGAGGCTCTGCAGCCCCTCAAGTCACTGGACTGGCTGAACTTACACAGGTACGTGTTTTCCTTCGAGCAATCTATCGTGGCTAATTTCATTTTCTAGAAAGATTAACGATTGCAATTTATTACTCGTACTGCCTGCTCAGACATGTTTATATGAAAGCCTTAAATTATAATTGCCGGTCACGGTAGCCGAGCGGTCTAAGGCGTGCACTGTCTTCGCTCGCTCGAAGCCGGGATTGTGGGTTCGAATCCCACCCAGGGCATGGATGTTTGTGTGCGCTTTTCTGTGTTTGTCTACAGGTAGAGGCCTTGCGACGAGCTGATCACTCGCCCAAGGAGTCCTACCGCATGTGTAAGATCTAGTAAACCGAAGTGAAATGGAGAGTTTCATGGAGGTAGGCCTAGGGCCAAATTGAGGCTGTAGCGCCACAGAAAAAAAAATATAATTAAGGAGCGCTACTTGTATATGTATTTTGCATGTTACAATGATATTTAAGATTTGGTGTATTCGCAATATTGTAGATATAAAAGGTAAAGCTGTCCCTGTAACAGGCCCTGGAGGCCTACAGGGTTGTGAGACGTCGAGGCTCCCACATTTTCTAGACAGTCGGCTCACAGATGGCGGTGACGTTGTCAGCCTTGCGCTCCAACTGACCTCTAACCCAAAAAAGAGTCTTGGTACTCATTTCTGTTAGAAGCTAGTTCGACCCCAAGGCCATAATGCGGCTGGAAGTATCAGGTGAATTAAAAAAGAACATCCACCTCATCGTTACTCAAACTCGCGACCTTCCGGCCTTTAGCATAGTGCCTCAGCTAACTACGCTACCGCGTGCCCTTATTAAAATGTGAACACTGGTCTATAATTGTGAAGTGAATTAAATGTATTGAATTTATTGTATGTAATCGCCTACTTAAAGCTGTATGAATCTGTGATCAATCCACTAAACATAACCTCACTTTCACTTACACTGGATGTGCCATTCAATCTCTTCATACCTCCAGTTACCAGAGGTGCATACGCAGGATCACAGCGAATTCATCCCATCTGCACTATGTACTTATATATATCATGCCAATTAACATACATTAGTTCATGTAATAGATCGTATTTTAATCTCAGTATCATATCATTAAATCCAATAATTTGAATGTTTATGCCATTCTGCTTAAATCCCGCCCGATACTACAAATTGAACTCAGGCCTGCATGTTCAATTATTGTTTATATGGCTTTATCGATTGTTCACAATACAAATTGGAAGCACGCGGTAGCACGGGTTCGAGTCCCGATGAGGTGCATTTTGTTTCCAATTGATCCAGTCCTTCCAGATCCCTATGGTCCTGGGGTCGACTCAGCCTCTAACAGAAAAGAGCACCAGGAATCTTCCTAGGGATTAAAGGGGCCGTTGCGTAAGACTGACAACCTTACTGCCATCTGTGAGCCGATTGTCTAGAATATGTGAGAGCCTCAACATCTCGCAACCCTATGTTCCTACTGCAGTTTACTGTACCTGAAACTAGATATGATGGGGGGTCAAATCTATATGACGTTCAACAGAGCAACAGAATTAAGGACATCGTGTCAGAATTAATTATTAATAATGTTATTGTGTGGCTTTTAATACATCTATAAATAATGTTCATTTAACATGAATATTTGATAAATCTATGAAAGTGTTATTGTGGTAGATAATTTTTCTTGCGGTCGCTTCGAAACAGATCCATTTTGACCATAGTAAAAATAATTGTCATCCCCTGTAACAGAACTTGACTGTTAAGAGCTTTTCACATCAGATGTAATGAAATTTGTTTATTATTGATATGGGTACTTAAAAATTTAATTCATACTTTATCTCTCAGAGGCATAATCAATTCGGTTAGTAATTTGTCACGTTATATTGACCAGTGGATAATTACACTGTTAAAAGGGCTAGGTTTATAGCCTTGGAGTCAGTTTTAAGCTACTAAAAGCATCCTCAGGATTATGATGACCGGTGGTCTAATAGGACCTTACAGAATTTTCAGAGAATCCTATTGCTTTGATCTTCAGGGTCGCACGGAAATTCTCTGTTGCTGGGGGCGAGTAGCAAGGTTTCCAAGAGGGCTGTCAGAATATTTGCTTCCGAAAATAAGTGTGATTGAAGTTTACCATTGTTTCAGGAGATATAATCTTTCAATTTTAACGCTCGAAGACATGGGTGCCGGGAAGATGTTTTTTCCGGGAGTTTGGGGCAATGTTACAGACGAACAAACAGTTTATCTAGAGAAGGGCCCCCAAAAAACGGCTTACAAACTTATGTTTAAACCGTTTAAAACTATTTTACTGATCTCCCTAGAATATTCAGAGTGGAAGAATATTTTAAAATACTTTTTATTTCCAATATTAATATTTTGTATAGTTCCTTATTTTCTTCAATACTGATTTTTTTTCCAAGGGTCGCCATACAAAGTTAAGTAAGCCCAGGAAATAACCAGTCCATAAATCCATTTAACAATCCATACCCCGTCTACAGTGACGCCTCAAAAACGTGACAGTATCCATAGACGTCTACCAAACTACACGACATCACGTCCCAGAAGACCGTACTCATCACTGTCTTCACAGTGAGAGCATCAGATCTGATTTATAACATTAATATTTCTGTTTAATACAATTCGGGAGATTAATATGGGCCAGTATTGATCGGGAGTTGGCAGCGTGTGAAGACATAGAGATTTTACTGGTTTATTATGTCCACATTCGTGCCCTGATTGGAGCTGCTCTCTAAAGGACGCGGCGTTTCCTAGTGAATTCTGCCAACTTCTTCCCACCATGACGTACTAACGCGCTGTGTGCAAACCAGAGTTCACGATTTCGTAGCCACCTATGAGCAGAAATCGCAACTGTAATGAGAATTCGATTTACGTGCTCTAAATCATGACTCTCAGAATGGTTCAGGTTATGTGTAAACCGCACATAATGAAACAATTAAGAATAGTTTAGATAGCATAAAGGGATTAGTAAAATCTATAGCCAGCTTGTTCTATAGAAATAATTTATTGCAACTTAAATCTTGAAGAAATTTGAGCCCGAAAATTGTTCAGAATGGAATGTGACAGCTTAAAATTACTATAAGAAATATATATATATTTTTTTTTTTGAGAACAGAATTTCAGTTCACAGAGGTAATGTCCTTGCAGTAATGACTGTTCATTCATTCATTCATTCAGCTGTACAGCCATTCTTAGGCTCTGGCCTCTTCTTAAGTTTTATTTTTCCTTGGCACTACAGCCCCAGTGGGCCTAGGCCTACCTCCATGAACTTCTCCGTTCACTTCGGTTTTTCTAGATCTTAGACATACAATAGGACTCCTTGGGCGGGTGATCAGCTCGTCGCAAGGCCTCTACCTGTACACAAACACAGAAAAACGCACACACACAAACTAAACATCCATGCCCTGAGTGGGATTCGAACCCAAGATCCCGGTTTCCAAGCGAGCGAAGACAGTGCATGCCTTAGACCGCTCGGCTACCGTGACCGGCCTTCTTAAGTTTGGTGATCTTTATTCACACAGACGGTTGGACTCCTCGGACGAGTGATCAGCCCGTCTCAAGGCCGCTGCCTACACACAGGACGAACCATAAAATAAACGCACACACAAATATCCATATCTTGAGTGGGATTTTAACCTACGATCCCTGCATTCGAGTGAGCGAAGACATTTCATGCTTTCGTATCACTGTGATCGGCTGTAGTAATTGCTATAGGAGCAAATGAAGCCGAATACATTTATGTTCCATTAGCGTTGTGGGGGACTATAACCTTTACGTTATGCATAAAATGTAAGGAGGCAGCTTTCCATTGTGTTCAGACAGCAACATCTGAGATGTGTGAATGGTTAGGGAACGTCACGGAGTAAAGATTCTTGCACGGTAAGTGGGGGTAGTTGAAACGTCCTATTCACGTGGATATCATTTTGCTAGGCACCGTACATACTTGCCATACCGTACCAAGAAGCTTTACACAGCAACAGGCAAAGAATGCAGGGCTCAAGAGAATTGACTTGAGCAATATCAATCTCGACAGATTAGGTTAGCTCTTGCACAGTATGTCTGGCTTGCAGTCTCCACGTCATCAGTTCTCTTTGGGGCTGAGATTATCTGCTATCTCAGCTAACCTAATCTGTAAACTGATACAAGACTTCACCTACTACAAGCAGGATTGGTGAAGTGACATACATCAGAGGTGAGGTTGCTGATGAGGCAGAGGAAGGAAGTGAAGTGTGGAGGTTCATAATTTGTACTCTTCACAAGAACATGAGTAGGATAAGATCAGAGATGGGCGAACATGTATCACTTGTGGGACAGATGCGAAATGTACGCAAAATTCTGGTGCAATGCACAGGAAATATGATTACTACACATGCCATAACTCAGGTGGTATAGTGATGGGATTCGGGCTGGATGATCGGCGTTCAATTCCCGGCAGGGCAAGATTTTTTCTTCTCCGGGTCTTGGGCACATTCAGCCTCCTATCCAATGGATACCGGGAGCTCCTTCCCTTGGGATAAAGCGGCAGGGGCGTGAAGCTGACCTCTCACCTCCATGTAGGTCTAATATCAAGAATGGTGGAGCTATACCTCCACTCCCCCTACGTATTCACAGTGTAGTGATTAACTAATTAAGCAAACGGACAATTTTATTATTTATATTATGTACTAAGCCAGAAAAATGATAATAAACACAGCAAAAATTCATAATGAAATCCACTTCTCCACATCAATTCGGTGCCCACAATACCCGTTTCAGTGTGGTTATACAACTAAAATTCTGTAGCGTCAGTTGTTATCAAGTCAGGATCTATACTTCCATCCCAATGCGAAACTTTATTTTATTTCGACTAACGTGAAAATCACGGTGTGAGGTACTTCACAGTTCCTCGTTATGTAATGTCAAATGTCTGCACAAAGTGTCTTGTAGGGGAAGAAGGGCACGTGAGTAACACGGTTGTGAGATCATGCCCAGATTCTGGAATGCCACCAAGCGCTGGCAAAATGAATCTAATTACTAACGACTTGAATTCAATGCTTGTCTCTCACTTATTCAGTAAAAGAATTAAGCTATAAAATATTTCTAAAATTTAATACGATTGGCCAAATTCTCCTGTGTCTATAACTGCGGAAGGGATGGTCGCGGGTTTGAGTCCCAATGAGGTGGATTTTTTCAGTTGACTTAATCCTTCCAGCCGCACTAGGCCTTGGAGTCGACTCAGCCTCTAACAAAAATGAGTACCAGGAAACTTCTTGGGGATAAAGGGCGGCCGGAGCATAAGGCTGACAAACTTACGGCCATCTGTGAGCCGACTGTCTAGAAAATGTGGGAGCCTCGACGTCTCACAACCCTATGGGCCTTCAGGGCCTGTTACAGGGACAGCTTTACCTTTTTACCTTTACCCGTAAGTGCAGAAGACCCTCACAATGAATATATATATATATATATACTTACGTCACAAGGAACTACCACGTTAGACATATTCCGCATGTCAATTGTTTCATAGTATAGTGTATAGTGACGCCATCTGGTACCCCATCTACAGTCACAGAATTATGCAAATTTTAACATTAAAACTGAACTTGAAATATCTGACACACCAGTTTTATTTTCTCAGTAAATGAGCTGTGTATCAGTGCGGCTGATTGCCCGAGAAGACTTAATTATATACATAGCCGACTTTCGTAACATGATTTTCATGTATATCTCTTGGTTCTTGTACGTGCGGGGAAATAGTTTTATATTTCATTTTACAAAGATCTCATTATCTGGCGTAGAATTTCATGATGAATATTGTGCGATTAATTGGAAGGGATTTGAGAGGAAGCGGCCTTGACCTTATCTACGTACTTACTTTCCTAGCACGTGCCTGAACGGACTGATGATAACTAATCGCCTGCTTTCCTTGATAAGACACGGACCGCATAGAAGACGCCTTCAAAAATTCTTTGTTGCCACAGAAATCTTTTCACCGAGTTGTTACCTAGCAACGATATGGTGATGCACAGACGCACATACAAACGCGTCCAGCAATTCTTCTATTACGTGTATTCGTTGCAGCTGGAACGTGCTTGCCGTTGCTTAGCAGCGAATGGTGGAATACACTTTACCGAGAACATACCTAACAACAACAGGAGGGAAACATATACAGATACGCAATCTTGTGGGAGCGATTTATGAAGTACGCCGTTGAGATGGGCTCAGGTGCCGCGATATACGTACCAAGTTTCATAAAGATTGGTTCAGGCATTCAAAAATTAATAGGAACGAGGAATCACAAACACACAGCATGGAGGTCGTATAAACATATTTTAATTTTTCAAAGTAAGGGACCTAGGATAAAAACCATGAAATTCCCCAGTCAAGAATGTCGATGGACGGACCAAGTCTTATAATATGATGTAGACTATGTTGTATGTTTCTTCACCATGAATTTCATTTTTGCTTTTGAAGAATGTCCTCCACATGAGAGATTAAAAGATGACAAAGGGTACCCGATCCCTTTAGAACTGAGCTGTAGAGCAAAACAAGAGTGTAAAAGTTTTCTCTCTTCTTTAAAGTGTTAGGTTAACCTTCAGAGCCAGCTGTTCCATCTTCCCGACAGTCAAAGGTAACTACAAAATGGCGGTACAGAGACGGCTTCATTTGTTTCGAGTTCAAAGTAACCTTTGGCATAGCCTTCTTAGTTTGCTCCGTACAAATTTATTCTGAACTGTCGCAATAAAGAGGAACTACTACAAGTTACATTTTCTACTGTGCCAGGCATTCTTACTAATTAAATACTGTCACGTGTAGGAGTTGTTCTTGGCTTATAAGACTGGTTTTCGATTGGGTGGTTGTATTTATTTACACCTTATACACAATACTCGGAGCTAAAAGCAATTGCAGCGCTATCGCTGATCTACACACTTCACTGTTCACCGTTACACACGCACTAGGGTTCTCAGTCTTCACTAATCGTATTCTGGCATCGGATTTATAACAGTCTCACTGTTACTTCAAATCATACCTGGAGTCTTCTTTTCACAGTCTAATTCTTTTCTTGCCATTATTCTGCAACTGCCAACTCAATCCAGTTCCTCTGCCCCCGAACTCATATCTTGGCAGGCTGGCGTCTCGAAACGCGATTAACCATTCTCAACTGAACTCTTCTTTATAAATACTTTGCACGGACCACGCAAAGAAAAACAGCCTCTATGGCTGACAAGGTGTGTTTACCGCGCCGTTGCATAGTAACGGTTGCGGTGCGGACCCGAATAGAAAACATCGTTCTACTACTGTTGCGCTCGTGTTCATTGCCGCGGGAATTTGTTTACCTAGCCGTTGCTTAGCGATGGATATATGCGTCAAAATATTGTTAACAACTGTGTTCTACTCTCCACGCCCTGAACCGAGACACGGTAATAATATGTGAGAGGTCGAGGTGACGTGGAAGTTTACGTATTGTCCGTTGTGCGCAAGCGTGAAGAGCAGTACTTGACAGTCGGATCTACATGTTACCGCGTGGGAGCAGGAGTCTTCTAGAGGCTTAAAGCCTGCCTGTAGGCCATGACGATGAAAGCCTTATGAGACATGGGCTCACTTCTCGAATTACACAGAATTCACATGGAAATTGCAGTATGGTAGACATCTCACCCCTGGGTCCCCACATCCCAACACTACGAAATTTTACCCCAGTGCCACTTTCTCTACCAAAAATCCTCCACGACTTTAACTGGGATCGAACCCAGGCCGCTGCGGTCGGAAGCCACCCAATAACTGCCTCATCTGTGACACGGCCCCAGTGGATAATCAGAGTATAAAGGTGTGGAATGGATTCATCTGGCTCAAGCAGGAATCAGTATTTGGCTTTTGTGAACTTAGTGTTGAACCTTCAGGTTATATGGAACTTGAGTAATTTGATTTCCCTACTGAGCAAATATCAGTTTATCACGAAGGATTCTATGGAATTTCTTAGAGATTACATTAAAATATATATGAAATAAATAGGGTATGAATGTGTGGAATGGATTCATCTGGCTCAGGATAGATTGCTCTTTTCAACTTGATAGTGAACCTTTAGATACTAGCCTGGAGAAAGCGGACAGTTTCTTGACTAACTGACAGACTGGTTTCTCAAGCACTCTGCGCTCTAATTACATAGTCAATAATTAAATTATATCTATAATTGGTATTCGTGGGGCACGCGGTAGCGCAGTTTGTTGAGGCACTATGCTACAAGCCGAAGTTACGGATTCGATTCCCGATGAGGTCACTGGATTTTTCAATTTACCTAATCCTTCCAGCCGCACTATGACCCTGGGGTCGAATCAGCCTCTAATAGAAATTAGTATCAGGAATATTCCTGGGGGTAAAGGGCGGCCGGCGCGTAGGGCTGACAACCTTACCGCCATCTATGAGCCGAATGTCTAGAAAATGTGGGAGCCTCGACGTCTCACAACCCTATGGACCACCATGGCCTGTTACAGGGATACCACCTTTTTATTAGTAAACAAGATTTTCATGTTGGACATTTTCTTTTTAGCAATATTGGATGAGATATTTGTCTTCAGACTGTTTTATCTCGGGCACTTATTGGTTGGTTTCTGACGCGAAGGTCGTGAGTTGAATCCATAGGCAGGAGGTATTAAATTTGTGGCACATAAAATGCCGTTTGCGGTTGGATTTTCACAGAGTTCTTTTCCTGGTAAGTATTACACCACTAATTCTCCACATTCATGTGAAGCAGCAGTAACAAGGGACCTAGTCTTACCCCACTTCTAGAACTCTTAACCGTCAACAGTAGTTACGACATTGTAATGGGTTGCGAGGGGGGGGGGAGTTCGTAAGTGTTTCTGTGGGGATTTTCGCACAACACTTTTAAGGAGTTTTTTTGGAATGATATTCGGTTTCGTCAGCTTCTTGTGTTGCTCTACAGGCCTATTATTAGCGAGAGTTCTGTCTTATGGGATTAACACATCGAAGTCCTTTGAAAGTCAACGGAAGTTTCGGAGGAAAATGTCGCATCCATCTTCAGGGTCGAAAAAGAAGCCAATGAAGAAACCTGTGTCAAGCAGGTTGACTTGTTCTTCGACTTTGAACATGGCAGCGACATGTTCCTCCGAAACTTCGTTTGGCTTTCAACCAAATACACGCCGCTATATCCCAGAAGATAGATATCTTCATAACCACCGGTGTGACAACCTCAATACCTACTTACTACCAGCTTACTGACTCTTGAATGAAACTTATTCGCCAAAATATGGGAATGATTTTATGAATTGGATTGAAAGGGCTAGGTCGATGTTCTCATGTTCCAGCAATCAGATATCATCGCTCACGACCCATGACGGAGAGGGCGATTGGTCCTCCATGAGGGACACCCTGACCAACGTGTTCCTTGGGGACAACGACCTCACGGAGCTGCCGAAGATGCGGACCGGAAGTGGGAACGGCGGCAGTAACAATAACAAACACCATAACTGGAACAGAAACAGAAACAGAGGGGGCACAGATGTGGGAAATGGCTCCGGTGCCTCGCTCGCTGAATGCCGCATGCTCACCTGGCTGAACCTCGACGGAAACAAGGTATATTATACAGAGTGTTTTATATGTGCGATTATCTTATCTCCGGAGTCTTACCAGCTGAGTTCTGCATGCTCATCTGGCTTAATCTCTACAGTATTAAGGCCGCGCCCTCGCTAAGGGGGCCCATACACGTACGACTCTGGCTCACCAGTCAGACTCGGGTTCCAGTGAGCCAAACTCGTCCGTGTGTGGTGAAATTAATCCGAGCCCGGTTCCTCGCCCAGCCGGACTCGTACGTGTATGGGCCGCCTAAGCCAGACACCAACAGCAACATACTACACTATACAGAGTGTTTGGCCGCGCCATAGTTCAAGCGGTTAGTGGCTGGCTTCCCACCGCGGCGGCCCGTGTTCGATCCCGGGTCTGGTCAAGTGAGATTTGTGGTGGACAAAGTTGCGCTGGGGCAGGTTTTCTCCGAGTACTTCGGTTTCCCCTGCCAATCTTCATTCCACCAATTACTCCACAATCACCCTCACGTATCATCTGGGGCTGGTACAATAGGCCAGAAGTGGCCGCAGTACAAGGGACTTAGTCCCACCCCACTAGCAATAAATACAGAGTGTTTAAACTCTTGGATAAGGCAATGGTTGTCGCGTGTCGTTCCCGAGCGTTGTACGTTCACTTGACTGAATCTCTACACACATAATATCGGTTATTCATTGCTTAAAACATTTTAAATATCTTGTGAGACATCTTTTCAGTCGCGTTCTGCGTTAATTCGGGTAAGTTCCATTGATCATAAGTCCCTGAGAAGCTGATATTAACTTATTTGGCCAAAAATCCAGCCTTTTATGGAATCCGATGATTCATGACCGTGTTCACAAGAGCTATAAGGTAAAGGCAAAGTTGTCCCTGTGCCTAATTAATTAAGCATCATGCCATGAAGACGTGGGGGAGTGGAGGTATAGCACTAGATGGATGTGAGTGGTTAGCTTCACGCCCCGGCCACTTTACTGCAGAAGTAAATAGCCCCAAAATACCACTGGATAGGGGGCCGGGTGGGCCCTAGAGACGGTCGGGACGATGTGGAGAAAAAATCTCTTGCCTCTGCCGGAAATGGAAGTCCAGCCCATAGCCCGTTGCTGTATGGACTCAGCACTCTGTACTGAACCGGTTGTATACATTCAAAATTTTCCTCGTATTCTACTTATTCCCCATTCACCGCCCTATTTTTCAGCCTTGTCTTGGGTAATATTTTGTAACATACACGTATTTTTCGGTGGGTAGATTTGTAGCCCTTAATTGTCCCTTTTCGGGTCTGTGAAACTAAATGCTTCACACATATTAGTCCCTACCTTTCATACCCGAAAGCCGCCTATTCAATTCGTAACTTCAGCGTCGCCTTGCTGTTGTGACAAGCAAGCCACTTAGCGTGGGCGCTAAAGTAAATAAGTAAAGTCTTATATAGGCTGTCTGGTCCAGCAAACCTGTGGAAGTGACGTCATGAGCAGCCTGCACCGCCGTATCTCTTCCTGTTTTAATATGATTTGCTTACGAAACCTGGTTAACTCTGCGAGGCTTCAAACGCAGAACTCCGAGTTGCTGTTTCTGTTTCATTGTTTTTCTTTCTAGAAAACTGGTAAAGTGACGTCGCGCGTCGTTCCACTCCTCTTAGAAAGGGTTTAAAAATTTAAATGGGTCGCAACAGAATGTCATGTTGCACTAAGCTGTTACTTCTTTTAAATTTACGATTTACAGGAGACGCCTCCTCAGTCTCTATTTTTCTTTCTCTTTTGCTCTCTTCCTGCTCTTACTGCTTTCCATCTGTATCCGTCTATAACGTGGATGAGTCATTCGCGCTTTCACATAAAAAAAAGACAAAAACATAATATATACGTCGAAGAACAATACTGTCACGTGTATTAGTGACTAGAGACGGGATTTGGATCGGTGAATAGATTTATTAACACCTTATACAATCAATACAGCGCTATCATCGATTTACAGTTTACAGTTTACAGTTAGACACGCACAACGATTCTCAGTTTTCACTAGTCATATCCTGGCAACGGAATTAAAACAGTGTCACTGTGACTAAATCTTCTAATCACGTACTAAGTCTTCGCAGGCTGGCTTCTAACTCTTCTTCAACAATTCTCTAATCCACTCAGCATGGACTATGCAGAAAACACGTGTCACGTGTCAGAGTGTTCGTTGGTCTATTACCAGCATTGGGCATTAAGCGGACTACATATAAAACACCTTTTATGTTGTCCATTATAAATACTTCAGTCGGACCACAGCAGAAAACACAGCCTCTCTGTTGTGTGACGTCACCGCGTACGCGAGAATGTGCTTAGCTTGCTTTGCATAGTAACGGTCCATGATTTGACCACAGAAAACAGTGCTCCTCTACTGTTGGCCGCGCGTGTGTTGCGGACGTTGCCTAGCAGTGGGTCGATACGTCACGATACTATTATTGTTTCAGTGGCTTTCCAATGTCCTTTCTATACAGCAGGTTGGCTCTGCTGGTAATCCTTCTGAATTGTATTGGAAGGTGCCTCGTTCAAGTCTCGCTCGGGACAGTTATTATCCCAGCAGGGGTGGTTCGTAATTTCCCACGAAAATGGTGATAGCCTCCAATTGTATCGCATTCACTTCCTTCCATATCCTTTCCAGTTCATTATTCACTCACCAATCTGTCATCAGATACAATGTCGTTAAATAACCATAAATGAATGTAAGAACATAATGTATTCTCTTGCGTTTCTGTGTCGTTTAGTTCATATCCTATCTTCTTGTCCTGTATATTTTCACATCTTTTGTGCTTCTCGTTTTGCCCTTCCCCCACTCTAAAATACCTCTCCTTCACGAACTATATGCTTTTGTTCATTGCGAAATAGAAAAGGGGGGTAAACTACAGAATTTTTATATGATTACCTTGCTAACCCCCGTCTGAATATTTAAAGAAACATAAATTACGTATATTTCTTTTTTTCCTTGGCACTACAGCCCCAGTGGGCCTAGGCCTACCTCCATGAACTTCTCCGTTCACTTCGGTTTTTCTGGATCTTATACATTCGGTAGGACACCTTGGGCGAGTGATCAGCTCGTCGCAAGGCCTCTACCTGTGCACAAACACAGAAAAACGCACACAAACAAACTAAACATCCATGCCCTGAGTGGGATTCGAACCCATGATCCCGGTTTCCAAGCAAGCGAAGACAGTACATGCCTTAGACCGCTGGGCTACCGTGACCGGCTAATTACGTATATACGTTTCAAAATTTTACAAAGGACCGTGCCAGAAGCATGCGACAAGGTAATTGGTTTAGACACTGTGCTACTCGTACAACTTCGAAGGTTCATTGGATTTTTCAATTGACATAATCCTTCCAGCCGCACTATGACCCTAGGGTGGACTCAGCCTCTAATAGAAATGAGTTTCGGCCCCTTTTGACCATGCAGCTATTAGCAGAGGCTTGACAATAAAAGGAAATTATTTTACACTTGTAAGTAAAATAAGTAAACGTATCCCTGTAACAGGATGTGGAGGCCCATAGGGTTCTGAGACGTCGAGGTTCCCACATTTTCTAGACAATCAGCTCACAGATGGCGGTACGGTTGTCACCCTTACGCTCTGGTCACCCTTTACCCCCAGGGCCATAATGCGGCTGCAAAGATTAGGTCACTTGAAAAATCTATTGACCACGTCGGGATTGGAACCCGCGATATTCCGGCTTCTAGCATAGTGCCTCAACCAAGCACACTACCACGTGTCCCCGTTTTATACTTGTGCATATAAATTGTGACTCGTAGCTATATGTTGCAAATTTTAATATAAGTTATATACGAGTATAGTGTTTGAGAACAGGGTATTGACGAGAATATTTGGACCGAAGAGATGAAATGACAGGAGGTTGGAGAAAACTGCATAATGAGGGGCTTAATAACTTGTACTCTTCTCCAAGTATAATTACAATGATCAAGTCAAGGAGAATGAGGTGGGCAGGGCATGTAGCGCGAATGGGGGAGACGAGGAATGCTTATAGGATATTTGTGGGAAAGCCAGAAGGAAGGAGACCACTGTGAAGACCAAGGCGTAGGTGGGTGGACAATATTAAAATGGATCTTAGAGAGATAGGATTGGATGGTATTGATTGGATTGATCTGGCTCGGGATAGGGACCAGCGGAGGGCTCTTATAAACACGGTAATGAACCTTTGGGGTTCCATAAAATGCTGGGAAATTCTTGAGTAGCTGCAGAATTGGCGGCTCCTCCAGAAGGGCTCAGCTGCATGAGTGAGTAAGTAAGTAAGTAAGTACGAGTATAAGGCACTATTTAAAATATTCAGTAAGCAGTTGAGACGTTTCTCGTAAAACGCATGCGTACGTGTAGCTGAAATCCGCTCAAATGTATCGGTGAAAAGTACCGCAAGAGCAATTGAAATTTCTGAGACACAGCAAATTTTATATGATGATTCTTTAAATTCTTCGTTCTTATAGTACATGACCCCAGTTACAGGGGTTCTTACACTGAGCCACAAAACTCGAAAACCTAAAATGAATTACGTAAACAGGAATACTGCCAACACTTCCACTTCCACGAAACAGAATAGCGATTTTACTTCACAGAACTGAGTTCTCATGAGCTGAGATTCGCTCAGTTAGCCTATGAATGCCTCATCTTCTTTCATAGAATGATGAGGTTCATTACCGTGATCGCAAAAGCCAGCCATCGGTCTCTCTCCATAGCTAAATAAATCCAGTCCACACCCTCACAGCACAGTTCTTTACTTTCTAGCCTACTTGCCTATGTACCCAACCTCAATCAACTCTGAATGCCTCAACGTATCTTTATGAAACTTGTTATGTATATTGTCACGTGTAGGGGTGCGTGAATTTTAGACGGGGTATGGATTTGATGATTGGATTCATTGACACCTTATGCACACCACTCGTAACCACAAGTGCCAAAGTGCTATCGCTGATCTACACACTTTACAGTTCACCGGTACACACACACTAGGGAACAAATACATTTAACAATAGAAGAATTGTTGGACTCGTCCTTTTCTATGCAGTCATTGTCATATGATAGGAAAGCAGGTGATTAGGTATTCCCCCAGTTTCTTAAAATAATATGCTCTTATCCAATGATCTTTGTTTCAGGTATTCATTACCTCCCCTATGAAAAACAGTGCCCCTCTTCTACTCAAACACCTTAACATAATGTCTGATGAAAACATAAAATTTTGATTTCATAATAACTGGTTTAACACTAACAGTGTCTCTTGACAATTCAAGTTTTCTATTATGGAATAGCAAATTATTGAGTACATAAGAGAATAGTACGTACATTATGGATAAAAAATTTACAGTATAATCAGTTAATATATGAGTGTTTTCATTTTTAAATACGAAGTGAGTCTTGAAAGTGTAGTAGAATTTACAGCACTGTAAACTCAATCTAAAACCAATTCTAAGTGTATGTAAATGTTGTTCATTCTAAATCAGTAAATAGTTATGAAGGTTGTTTATTATAAATATTCCCCCTTATGTTTGGCCCTGTTATTTGTCAGGTTTTATTTACTTACGATTTTAGTGGCCTGTTTTTTATGTCCAGTCTTGTACGTTTTGTACATACCAGCACATTAAACGCCGCATTGTTGTTTTTCATGAAAGTTTTTTATACTTATCGCTAGACTTATGTTGTTTTAATTATTAAAATGCTTTGAAAGTTTCATGACTCCTCGAAGTGGATGCTCTGTAATTCTGATTCTGTAAGATTTAATTTTCAACAGGTTCAGTGTATTTTGGACTCCTTTACCAATAATTTAATTCGATTTATATTGTCTGTGGCTCTACAGTCCTTTTGTTAGACCTTGGCCGATTTTTCAGCTTCTTACTCCTATACACAGAAGGTAAGACTCATTAGATGAGTGATCAGCCCGTCGCAAGGCCGATACTTATTAGTAGGTCTGGAATGGGGTCCACTCAGCTTCGTGAGGACACTTGAGGAGCTATTTCAAGGAAATAGTTGCTCCGGTCTAGAAAACCGAGATGAACGGCCGTGGGGATCCGTTGCGCTGACCACGCGACACCCTCTATCCGCTAAAATTGGCACTAACTTCGTCAAAAAGCGGCGGTCGCTCGGTCGGTATAGTTCGCTTGCGGACTACTGGCCACGGAGTTTGTTTTTATCTGTATATGTTTATTCTGTATAAATCAAATGTAATTCTATAAGATAACACACCACAACTTCTTTGCGTTTATTACAACCTGTTCATACTGCAAGACAGAACAACAAGACTTGCAGCAAAACAATGATCTTCCGGTTCATGTAATGTTACAGATGATGGCACTCGAGCCCGGCTCTCTTCCCGAGTCGCTTCAGACACTCAGCGCGTCCCATAACCTCATCGCGAGATTCCCTGCTGAGGCGCTAGACAACCTCCGGGCATTAGCATGGCTTTACCTACGTGGGAACTTCTTGGAAGAACTCCCTGACTACACATTCAAACACCACAAGCGGCTGGACAAGCTGGACCTAGGTGAAAACTCCATCCAGGCAATACCTCACAACGTCTTCAACAACTCTATGACCGTCCGGGAACTGAACCTCGACTTCAACCATCTGAAGACGCTCCCAGCACAAGCTTTTAGGAGCCTCAGTCCAGGCAGGATATACCTATCCATGAACAAACTAGAAGGAATGGATGACAAAGCTTTTGTAGGGATTAGTCATAGTCTGGAGTCCCTTAACTTGGAGCAAAACAACTTGCAAAGAATCCCAAGAGCATTAACTCAGTTGAAGAGGCTGAAATATCTTTACATCCCGTCCAATAAAATTAGTGAAGTACCAGAAGATGCTTTCGAGAGTTTCTCAGGGTCATTAAGAGCACTGTCGCTGTCAGGAAACCAATTAAGTAAAATACCAAGAGAAGCGCTGAAAGACTGCAAAAAATTATCACATCTAAACGTAGGTTATAATCAAATTTATGAAGTGGATGAGGAAGATTTTGCTAGGTGGGGTGGTTCGTTAGATACTTTAATCTTGCGGAATAATAGACTCTCTCGTTTAGATGCCCATGTGTTCAGGGAGGCTCCACGACTCCGGGAGCTTAGTTTATCTTTTAATAAGTTCAGTGAAGTGGATCCTGAAGCTTTCATAGACGTTGCTAATAGTCTGGAAAACCTTGAAGTGAGTTTTGGGATGTACAGAGAGGACTTTCCTGAAGACTTCCTGAAACCGCTAAAATCTCTTCTTTGGCTGGCATTAGACAACAATAATTTTCGCACTATTTCACCGACTGCGTTATACACACTTGGCCAACTTCATTATTTAAATTTAGAAGCGAATCGTTTGGAATACCTACCACCCCAAGTGTTTCATCCTAATGTGCATAAAAATCTCCATGATGTTAGGTTATCATATAACCACATTGAAGTGTTGGATTCAGAAACATTTACGTCACTTCGTGAATTAAGGACGGTGGTGCTATCTGGGAACAGAATAAGGACATTGAGGGCAGGTGCTTTTAGTGATTTACCAAAACTGGTCACTTTAGTAATATCTGACAACAAAATAAACTCTCTTGAACCAAGGTCACTTACTGAGTTGCCAAATTTAATAAAGTTAGACTTGCAGAACAATGAGTTGAAGGAGTTTTCACTGAGCACTTTCTTGAATGTGACAAGGTTCATCATGCCCATGACGATAAACATTTCAAGGAACCAGATCTCGTCTCTCTATGCGGGGGATACAGGTACCCCTCTGCATGTGAAGACGCTGGACATGAGTCATAACAAAGTCCCTGAAGTACCTGTCAATTTCCTTCAAAGCTTCTCCGATTCTTTGAGAAGACTCCATATGGGATACAATAGCATCAGACGCCTAGATCCAGTAGCGTTTGGAAACCTGGACCTTCTAGAAGTGCTTACCCTAGAACATAACGGTATAGTAACAGTCAGGAAGAAAGCATTTGAAGGTATTGAAGCTCTTCAATTGTTAGATTTGTCACATAATCATATTGAACAGTTACAAACTGAACAGTTTTCAAATTTGGAAAACCTTCGGATAGTTGATTTATCGCATAATCATATCCGTTCACTATCTCGCGACGTGTTCCAGAACACGAAACTCGAGCGCTTAGAATTGGCCAATAATGAGTTTGTTGTGTTGCCAAGCAGTGCACTGGGTGAAGTGGGTTTCACGTTCAGATATCTGGACATATCACACAATCATGTGGAGCACTTGGACAGCACAATGTTCGCAGACACGCCGTACATACTTGGACTCAACCTGGGACACAACAAGCTCAATCTTCTCCCTGACAACGTGTTTATGAACTTAGGAGGTCTACTCAAACTCGACATCAGCAGCAATTCCTTAAGGGCAAACTTCAAAGAGCTCTTCCATTATGTGCAAAGGCTGAGACACCTCAACCTAGCTGACACGGACCTTAAGGTCACGCCCAATCTACCGCTCCCAAATCTAGTGACCCTCAACCTGTCCTCCAACTCCATTGAAGAGATGGCACCAACTGCTGTAGAAGGTCTGAAGAAGCTCAGAAGTCTGCACTTGAATGGAAACCACTTCACATCCGTTCCGTCTCAGGCCTGGCCCCACATGCCACTGCTCAAAACCCTGGACATTTCCAAGAACAGTATCAAGGTAAGCATGCCATGTCATTCATTAAATGTTGCTTCCTGCATCTGAAAAACTTGCCCTGGGATCATTAAGAATCATTCTTTATGGTATGAGAGTTGTTTAGATGAAGCCAGATTTGGCAACGTTACGGACAGAGGACGGGAGGCTCTTAAAAATGCCCCATTGGGCACTGAGTTCGCACCCCATTAATGCACCAGCTTATGAATCCTCACTGCAAAGAGCCCCCTGGTTGCTACTGGGATCATGCAACATTGCAGCCTTGATATTTTTGTATGATCCGACATGTAAACAGGTTTCACTTAACAGTAGACAGTATGTATAACTTAGGTATCTCTAGAAATATAACAATTTATTCATTAACACAAGTTAATAGGGAAATTTGAAAGGCATTTATTTAAATTCTGATAGAGCCCTCTGCTCACACAAACACTTTATATAAATAAGAAAAAATGACAGTTTCTGAAGATATCCTGACAGAATTAAAGTTGAAAAATTCCTTACATCTGGAATATAACGCCGTATAGTCCGTTGGAAGCCAACAGGTGGGACCTGCTTGGCTTATTCGACCCTGAAGATGGAGGCGATATGTTACTCCGAAACGTCGGTTGACTTCCATCCACCACACGGCATTATATCCTAGAAGACAGTATTCTTCATCGCTGTGAGAACCTCAAATCTTACAGAATTAAAGTTGTATTTTTAAATTCAAACAAATCCTGTTGGCTAATGCCGCATTTTTGACAGCAGTCATATTATGATCATATACACTTTAGTTTTGATCAGATACCTTTAACCTTCCCTACGTGGACCAAAGGGCCCGCCGGAACCATAGCTATAGATGACAATTGTCTAATTTTCATGTTGAATTTTCGAAACGTAATTCACTGACATACGTGACTACTCATATTTTAAGAAGTGGTTATGTACATAAATATGGATATATGGAAGATTTCTAAATTATATTTTCTGTGTGAATACCGCCTGTGGTCTAGTGGTCAGGGTTCCTGGCTACAGCTCCAGAGGTCCAGGTTCGATTCCCGGCGCTACCAGATTTCCTGAGAAGTAGTAGGTCTGGAACGGGGTCCACTCAGCCTCGTGACGATAATTGAGGAGCTATTTCAAGGAAATAGCGGCTCCGGTCTAGAAAACCGAGATTAACAGCCGTGGGGTTTCGTTACGCTGACCATGCGACACCCTCTATCCGCTAAAGTTGGCACTAACTTCGCCGACAAGCGGCGGTCACTCGGTCGGTATAGTTCATTTGCGGACTAAAACCACGGAGTTTGTTTTTTTGTGTGAATATAAAAATTGAAAGAGAAAATCTGTAAATGAAATGTGTCTTTCTTGTATATTTCAAAGATGAGTCGTTCACACAGAAATATTTTACATTTGAATTCAGAAAAATTTTAGTATTATTCATATAGTACATTGTCAGTAAACTTGAAAGCGCATTAAGATACATATCACATGATTGAAAGAATGGACTAAGTGTGAGTAAAATTTTGGGCATCACTTGTCAAAAACATATTTTGGAAAATTCAAGATGTAGCACAATTCTTTGAATTTGATCTAATTATAAAATAAGTATGCCAGCATATTTCCTAATCTGCAGTTGTTTCCTTAACAGATTATCACCAAGGACAGCTTTGCAGGCCTCAACCGTCTGCAGTCTTTGACCATCCAAGATTTGCCGCTGGAACGGTTCGATGGTGATACTTTGACCAGACTCCGTCTTCTGACGTCATTACGAATTCAGACGTGGCCTAAAATCGAGAAATATCGATTCCGTCTCGGTAGCGCCTTATCCAACATACCCTCACTACGTAAACTCTCAGTTCGTGTCTTGGAAACGTCCCTAACAGACCAGTTGCTGGGGGCATTCACACCCCGGTTAAGGCATCTGGAAATTACAGGTAGTGAACTGAGACACATTGATGCTGAAGCTTTCGAGGGCGTAGAGGAGAATTATGAACTGGGGTTGCAGATTAGAGGGACCCAGATCGAAGAGCTACCTGCCGGATTATTTGCGAAGCTCGAGAAAATACCTCATCTGTCCCTAGACCTCAGGGACAACAAGTTCTCCTCTCTAAGTCCAGGAACATTATACTCCAATGGGACCAGCTGGGAAAATGTGGGCACCAGACTCATTTCCGGTAAGTTACATCCGGTACATTTATTTTTCTTCTTGCTACACTCTTCTTCTATAGTGGTTCAACCCAACTGTTTGTGGACCACTTGACGTCATAATTATGTGTCAAAGATTTATTTAGATCTTCCTGTGATCCTGTGTTGCCTATATCGTACACGTATGCAATACAAGAAAACATTGGCTTATTACTTTCTCATACACAGAGTGTGGGAAAGTGTTCTGTTAGCCAAAAAAAAAACAAAGAACAGATATACAGGTTTTGATATATTTACAAGTTTTCAGCCCTCTGATGTCGTCTCTCTTTCTGTATGTATAGGCCTATATGTCTGTATGTACATGTATAAATACACGTACATACATGACAAATAATTATGGATTACGATTTTCACGTAGCTGTTTTATTGGATAAGTACGCCAGGCGGAACTACAAGCAGTTATCACACTCGATAATTATAACACTTCGTAACTGCGAAGAGTGGACACACTTTAATGTTCCTTGTAACTACGCCACACGAAAACTTCTGTCGGTTCTCCTCTCGCTGATCACTGATCTGATCTCCGTCCTGGTCTTCTCCCATATTGACGTCTTCCTGTCGAATCTTCTCGAATAGTGTTCACTGCTCCATATATAGGCTCGGCACGGACCACCCACAGAAAATACATCACTGCCAAGCAAGGGATATCATTAAACGTCTGTGTATCCACAGTCCGTCAATAATGTAACAATTGTTTATTCACTATTTAACACAACATGTTTCGGCCATAAATGGCCATCTTCAGGTGTCTTAATGCATCTAAACTGTTCCACTGCTCTGATGTGCGCTAAACAGCGCGTTGTAGTCCACTTAAAAATAACATAAATAACTAATTAAAATTTTTTCGTAAAATCCTATTCCATGTCATAAGGGGCGTCGTCCACTTGTTTGGATTTGTGTGATTATTCTAGAAGGTTCGTTTCTGCAGTTTGTTAGCCCGTTGTTTTGTTACGTCTGCAATCTGTTATCTACAAAATGCCACGCCCCTAACTAATTAAGCACTACGCCATGGAGGTGTATGGGGAGTGGATGTATAAATCCACATTTTCTTGACGTCGACACTAGTTGGAGGTGAGTATTCAACTTCACGCCCCAGCCGCTTTACCTCCGAGGAAAGAGGCCCCCCCCGGTACCCATTGTATAGGAGTTTGAGTGGACCCCAGAACCGGTCTGGACAACATGGACAAGTGAAAATTCTAGCCCCACCGGGATTCGAATTCCGACCCTTCCGTGTGGTCAACGGTGAACTGGAAATTGTGTAAATCAGCGATAGCGCTGTATTTATGTATGATTAAGAAAACTTGTAACCAAGGTGCTAATAAAGCCAACCGTCCGAACTAGAACCCGTTATTTTCGTCACGCGTACCACCCTACACGTGACAGTTTATTCCGTGACTGTGTTTCAGGGAGAAATACAAAAAGCTGTTCTCCAAAAAATTTATGCAGAATTAATAGGCTATTCTTGGACGTCATATTCTGCTGTTTGTCTCCGGGGACGTCTCTATGAAAGAAGAACTCGTATTGGGTTTGCAAATGTCGCTGCCCTGCAAGATGTAGCGGAGAGAGTGTAGAGGCAGTGACCCGAACCGGGCGCATTATGTTAAAAAGAGAAGGGACGGACACGGTGAAGCACTTGAGGATAACAGCGTCTTGACTGCGATATTTCAAAAGTGGCCAGTAAAATGTTACGACTCCCGTTATCCATTTCGAAAGGCTACTTCAGGCATAAATGTCATATTTAGACCCTTACATTACGTTCAGTGTAGCCCCTCTTCACTCTGCAGTGGTTTTAACTTGTCTGTAATCTTGGACACTGGGAGACGTAATCTGCCTGCACATGAAACGGAGGTGAGTCCACATTGTTGCACTCCAGACGTTCAATTCCATATTACAGCCCTTGTTCAGTGCAATGTTTTGCTTACAAAGAAAACTCCTTTTTATTCCGGACAAGATATAATATCGTCTGTAGCTTTGGACACGGAAAAAGTAACCCATCTACATATGAAGGACTGTGTCAGTCTTCTGTGTTTACATCCGCTGCTATCATACATCGTAATACATTCATTGACTGGTTCCCTGTCTCGTCTTTCCTATCCAGCCGAGCCTTGCCTAGCCTAGCGCAATACTAGCCTAATCCAGCTCGAAGCTAGTCTAATCCAGGGCTAAGATAGCTTAATCCAAGGAGAAGCTAGCCTAATCCATTTACAAGCTAGTCTACTCCAGGGCGAAGCTAGCCTAGTCCAGCACGAGGCTAGTCTAATCAATTTAAAAGCTAGTCTATTCCAGGGTGAAGATAGCCTAGTGCACGGCGAAGCTAGTCTACTCCAGGGCAAAGCTAGCCTAGTCCAGCACGAAGCTAGCCTAGTGCAAGGCGAAGCTAGTTTACTCCAGGGCGAAGCTAGCCTAGTGCAAGGCGAAGCTAGTCTACTCCAGGGCAAAGCTAGCCTAGTCCAGCACGAAGCTAGTCTACTCCAGGGCGAAGCTAGCCTAGTGTAAGGTGAAGCTAGCCTGTAAGTTTTTTACGCGCATGCGCTGCCACATTTCTGCCACCACGTTAGTAATCACCTGTACAGAGAGATGGCTGGTAGATAGATCAGCAGAGGTGGACCAATCGCTTGGCCTCCTAGGTCGCCAGATTTAACCCCACTGAATTTTTTCTTATGGAGTTATGTGAAGAACATTGTCTACCAGGTTAAGATCAACGACCTGCAACACCTGAAAGCCCGCATAAGGGACGCTGTGGCTACGGTAACACCAAACAAGCTTCAAGCTTGGATATTTGTCGTGCCATGAAGGGAGCCCAAATTGAAATTTACTGAGAAAGTTATAAAAACTTTGATGGTTTCCCTTTGTAGTGATATAACCATTAATGTGTATAATAAATTCTTTCTGAGATATAATTATTTTATTTTGGATACCTTTAATTCGGACATCCTGTATATCACATTCCTTGTGCACTTCTCTTTTTGGACAGCATGTAATGAGTATCAGATTCTGGGCAGTATTCCTACTTTCGAGGCAGCGGGTAATGAACAAGGGTTAGATATTAGGTGACAGGAAGTGTTTCTAAGAAAAAAGTTTCCATCTTCAAGCGGAGAGATGTTTCTTTGGAGGCATCGTACGGATAACAATACTCCTACCAGTGGCCACCTTCTGATGGCTCCCACGGTTGTCCACGAGACAGCTCCTTACACAAACAGTGTGCGCCAATTTACATGAACATCAGACTAAGTCTGACAATGAGAGGGCGTTATATCAACGACAGGGATTAAGCCAGACATGCATTTTGACGTCGTCGGCATTATTAGTCACTGTCATCTCCTACTGGATTATTACACAATGCAAATATTTATAAACACCACCGCAAACTTATTAACAGTTGTTTGAGGGAACAGATAGGTCGTATGAAACTCGATTGAAATAGGAGGCATTTGTGGTAATGGAAAATAGCTGAAGGCTATCCCTTTAGAGGAAATTAGAATGTATTATACACTCCAGTAGGCCTAACCTAACGTTATTAATTCCATTCCAGTTACGGAGAATGTGGTTTCGTTCCTCGAGACATGCTATAAAACTGCATATGGCTGACTACATTTTATTTCATCATGGAGCCGAGCTCTTCTTGAGAAGCTGCCAGTTGTGGAGTTACTAAAGAACTTCCCAGCAATTTATGAAACCCGAGGGTTCATTACCATGTTCACAAGAGCCCTCCACTGGTCCCTATCCTGAGCCAGCTCAATCCAATCCATACTACCCTATTCTATCTCTCTAAGATCCATTTTAACACTGTTCACTCACAATTCATAGCGGTCTCTTTCCTTCTGGCATTCCCTTTCTACCATATTAATGCTGCATGCCCTGCACATCTCATCTTCCTTGACTTGAACATTGTAATTAAACTTCGACAAGAGTACAAGTGATGAAGCTCCTCATTATGCAGTTTTCTCCAACCTCCTGTCATTTCATCTCTCTTCGGTCCAAATATTCTCCTCAACACCCTGTTCTCAAATACCCTCAGTCTATGTTCTTCCCTTAATGTCAGAGACAAATTTTCATATCCATACAGAACCACAAACAATATTATAGTTCTGTGCAGAACTATTAGGCTTATTTTGGACTCTATCCATCGTCTGCTGTGTGTATATACACACACACAAACACACGACACAAAAAGCTCAGAACGTCTCCGTCCTGAGGTGGTGTATATACACAGACACACAGACACAAAAAGCTCAGAACGTCTCCGTCCTGAGGTGGATGGAGGCCCGTTAGAAACAGCTAGTTTCAATCACTGGACAAACGACGGTTAGTAGAGAACAGCCTATAAACACGTGACAACAGGTTCCATGATTGGGAGATAAGAATAAAATCTCAATAAAAGACGAGATAGAACTTCTGTGCCAAGCATGCACATGTCAAAATGTGATAAGACAGTGGTATGGATTAGGTTCCAGGAATTGAGCTGAAAACGAGGGTAAAAATATGCAGATAAAGAGCCATGCCACTAGGGCAGCTTCTACGAACTAAGCCCAAACCCCACTAAGGTTCATAAAAACTTTCATTTTGACTTGTTGGCCTCTTCATTGACGAGGGGAATCCATAAGGGAGAAATGTCCAAACTGGGCTGGCTAATCGGAAGTAACAGCAGGGTCAGAAAGTATAAGAAATCAGCTCACATGACATGTTCAACTAATCCGATCTGCAGCTATAAACCAAGTCGTAGAATATGAGGAGGATCGCAGAAAGCTATAGCACAGTTGTTCTGGTGGTCTAGCGGTAAGACACCGGCGTTGTAAACCAAAGCTACGAGGTTCGGAACCAACGAAAATTTTATAAAATACAAATGAAAGTAATAAGATTTTTTCTGCAATTATATAGCGAGACGTAACATAAGAGGAAGATTAAAGGTCAAAAATATCCGTGGTATTGGTAGCCTATTGGTAAAGTACCGGCGTAGTGATTAAGAGTT